ACAAGGTTTGGCAAAAATACCCCTCACCTCAACCTTTGGAACTCCTGGATCAGCAACAACTTCTCCCTGACCCACAAAAATACCAGGAGGTTCAGCACCCTCAAACTCATTAGGTACCTGGGGTACCTCCACTGCCTCCTCATCATCATCATGCCGACCACACTGCTTACAGATCTTCCTGGACAGCCCATCGGCATTCCCATGCTTTCGTCCAGGTCGGTGTTGAATGGTCAAATCATACTCACTGATAACTTCAAGCCATCTAGCAAGCTGGCCCTCGGGGCTCTTAAAATTAAGCAACCACCGGAGGGCAGCATGGTCAGTGCAAAGGACAATCTTCCTACCATACAGGTACTGCCTGAACTGTTTCAAATAGACCACTACCGCCAACAACTCCCGCCGTGTAACACAGTAGTTCTTTTCAGCCCTACTCAATTTGCAGCTGGCATAGGCGATAACTTGCTCTTCGCCTCCGTCAACCTGGGACAAAACTGCCCCTATTCCAACTCCACTAGCATCCGTTTCTAAGATGTAGTCACTGTCTGGCACAGGGTAAGCCAAAACAGGAGCTGCCTGCAACTTCTGTTTAAGCTCCTCAAATGCTTCTTGGCAAGCCTCGGTCCAGACAAATTCTCTTGACTTTTCAGTCAAAGTATGCAACGGTGAGGCCACCTCAGCAAACCCACGGATAAACCGCCTATAGTAGGAAGCAAGGCCAACAAAGCTTCGCACTTCCTTCACACACTTAGGTGTTGGCCACTCAGCCACGGCTCGCACCTTTTCAGGGTCCGTAGCTACACCCTTGGACGACACAATGTGTCCCAAGTAGTTAACCTGCTTCTGGAACAAGAAGCACTTACTTGGCTTCAATTTCAACCCAACTTCTCTCAACCTGGAGAGAACGGCTCTCAGTCGCTCGAGCTCCTCCTTGACCGTTTTGCCAAATACAATGACATCATCCAGGTACATCAACAGGGTGTCCCACTGAAGGCCTGCCATTACTTTGTCCATCAGCCTCTCGAATGTGGCTGGGGCATTGCAGAGGCCGAAAGGCATGCATCTCCACTGATACAAGCCATTTCGGACCACAAAAGCTGACTG